AAGACAAGACACAATAAATCTCCTAGAAGAAAACATAGGCAAAACATTATCTCACATACATCTCAAAAATGTTCTCCTAGAGCAGTCTAACCAAGCAACATAAATAAAAGCTAACATAAACAAATGCGACCTAATTAAACTTACAAGCTTTTGCACAGCAAAGGAAACCATAAGCAAAACAAAATCACAACCTATGGAATGGGAGAAAATACTTGCAAAAGATGAGACAGACAAGGCCTTGATTTCCAGAATATATAAACAGCTCATATGACTTAATAAGAAAAAACAAACAACTCAATCCAAAAATGGGCAGAAGACCTAAACAAGCAATTCTCCAATGAAGACATATGACCAATAGGCACATGAAAAAATGCTCAATATCACTAATTATCAGAGAAATACAAATCAAAACTACAATGAGGTATCACCTTACACCAGTCAGAATGGCCATCATTCAAAAGTCCACAAATGATAAATGCTGGAGAGGGTGTGGAGAAAAGGGAACCCTCCTACACTATTGGTGGGAATGCAGTTTGGTGCAGCTGTTGTGGAAAACAGTATGGAGATTCCTCAAAAGACTGAAAATAGACTTACCATGCATTCCCACTCCTGGGCATATATCCAGAGGGAACCTTAATTCAAAGATACACCTGCACCCCAATGTTCATAGCAGCACTATTTACAATAGCCAAGATACAGATATAACCTAAATGTCCATCGACAGATGACTGGATAAAGAAGATGTGGTATATTTATGCAATGGAATACTACTCAGCCATAAAAATGATAAATACTGCCATTTGCAGTAACATGAATGGCTCTGGAGAATGCTATTCTAAGTGAAGTAAGCCAGAAAGAGAAAGAAAAATACTATATGGGGGGGTGGGGGAGAAAGAAAAATACTATATGATATCACTCATATGTGGAATCTGAAAAAAATAAAAGACAAATGAACTTATATATAAAACAGAAATAGACTCAGACAGAGAACACAGACTTGTGGTTGCTGGGGGAGGGGTGGGAAGGGCTAAATTAGGGGTTTGAAAGTTACAGATACTGACTGGTATATATAAACTAGATAAATAAGTTTATACTGTATAGCACAGGGAAATATATTCAATATCTTGTATTAGCTTATGGTGAAAAAGAATATGAAAATGAATATATGTATATTCATGTATGACTGAAGCATTGTGCTGTATACCAGAAATTGACACAGCATTGTAAAC